AGCATAACCATCATAATCAGCATCAGCATCCTCATCCTCGCTGCAGGAAGCTCTCTTCGAGCCCTGCGGCTCGCAGTCCGAGGAGGGGGTCCCCTGGCCTCCTCCAGGAGGAGGAGGAGGAAGCGGAGGAGGAGGCGGAGGAGGAGGAGGAGGAAGGGGAGCCGGAAGTGGAGGAGCAGGAGGGGAGGGGAAAGAGGAGGAGGAGGAGGAGGAGGAGGAGGAGGAGGAGGAGCAGGAGGGGAGGGGAAAGAGGAGGAGGAGGAGGAGGAGGAGGAGGAGGAGAGTGACGAGCAGCAGCAGCAGCAGCAGGAGGAGGAAGAGGAGGAGGAGGAGGAGGAGGAGGAGGAGGAGGAGGGAGGAGCGCAGCGCCAACGCGCCACGAGCTTGCTGCCGTTGGGCTTCCTCGCCTCGCCTCGCCTCGGCCCTCACCTCCCGACGGCGGGGCCACGGCGCGGGCGCCGGGGGCCCCCACCGAGAGCGATCCCACGGCAGGCAGGGAGCAGCGAGGAGGGGCGAGCGGCAGAAGCCCGAAGGCCGAGGCGGCCGCAGACAGGGGGCGCAGAGGATTTGTTTCGCGCGTCGCTGGCGTTTGCCAACCGCCAAAAAATATCCTGGCGAAGGACCCAACCGTATGCAGAAGTGGGCACCGCAATTGTGAATGTTTTCTTCGGTGAAGCTCCCTATGGGGTCACGAAGCGCTGCACTGGGTGGGGTGGAACGCATGCAGGCGGTAGCACTGGGGCCGTCGGTGGACCCATGGGGCCACAAAACGCTGTACTGGGTGGGTGAAAATGCCAACTTGGGCTGCCGGGGCGCATGCGGACGGTCCCACTGGGGGTTTCCGTGGAGCCCCCATATGGGGCCGCGAAGCGCTGTACTGGGTAGGTGAAAATGCCAACTTGGGCTTCCGGGGCGCACGCGGACGGTCCCACTGGGGGTTTCGGTGGAGCTTCCTATGGGGCCACGAAACGCTGTACTGGGTGTGCGAAAATGACAACTTGGGCTTCTGGGGCGCACGCGGGCGGTCCCACTGGGGGGTTCGGTGGAGCTTCCTATGGGGCCACGAAACGCTGTACTGGGTGTGCGAAAATGACAACTTGGGCTTCCGGGGCGCACGCGGGCGGTCCCACTGGGGGTTTCGGTGGAGCTTCCGATGGGGCCACGAAACGCTGTACTGGGTGGGTGAAACTGCCAAATTGGGCGTACGGGACGCACGCGGACGGTCCCCCTTTGGGGGTTTCGGTGGAGCTTCCTATGGAGCCACGAAACGCTGTACTGGGTGGGTGAAACTACCAAATTTGGCGTGTGGGACGCATGTGGGCGGTCCAACTGGGAGCTTCGGTGGAGCTCCCTATTGGGGCCACGAAGCGATGTACTAGGAGGGTGAACATGTCAAATTGCGTGTGCGGGACTCACGCGGGCGGTCCCACAGGAGGCTGCGGTGGAGTTCCCTATGGGGCCACGAAACGCTGTACTGTGTATGCGAAAATGCCAAATCTGGTGTGCGGAACGCATGCGGACGGTCCCACTGGCCCGGGGCCTCCGATGGAGTTCCGTATGGGGCCACGAAACGCTGCACTGTGTGTGGCGGACGCATGCGGCCACCCCACTGGGGCTTTCGGTGGAGCCCCCTATGGGACCACGAAACGTTGTACTGGGTGTGGCGGGCGCATGTGGCCATCCTCATTGGGGCCTTGGGTGGCGCTCCGTATGGGGCCATGAAACGCTGTACTGGGTGTGGCGGACACACGTGGTACCCCCACAGGGGCCTCACGTGCAGCTCTCTGTGGGGCCACGAAACGCTGTGCTGGGTGTGGCGGACGCATGTGGTACCCCCATTGGGGCTTTACGTGGAGTTCCCTATGGGACCACGAAACGCTGTACTGGGTGTGGCGGACGCATGTGGTACCCCCAGTGGGCAGGGGGGCACGGGAGGAGGAGACGCAGACACTGTTTCTTCAAAACGAAGACCCAACACCACAGGATGGCTGGGAAAAAGGAGGAAGAAGAGGAGGAGGGGGAGAAGGAGGAGGAGGAGGAGGAGGAGGAGGAGGAGGAGGAGGGGGAGGGGGAGGAGGAGAAAGAGGAGGAGGAGGAGGAGGGGGAGGAAGAAAAAGAGGAGGGGGAAAGAGACGAAGAGGAGGAGGAAGAAGAGGAGGAGCTCGCGGGCTGGAGTCTCAAAGCAGCGCCCAAGATGGCCCGGGACGGACGAACCGAAGCCAGCCCAGGTGGTCGGCGCATGCGGCGCAAGCCGGCCGAGGTGGGCAGGGTGGAAAAAAAGAGTTGCCGACTGACAGATAGACAGCATAAAACTGCATGGGCGCGAACTTTCGGAGGCACGCACGCACTTCCTGGGTCGGGCGACAGACGATGGGAAGCCGAATAACTGCATGAGTCTGGTCAGAGCCCGATCCCGCGTCGTCGCGGGCGGGCTCGGGTCCATGGGCAGCACCGAGCAGCCTCGAGGACACGGACGAACGTCGGAGCACCGTGCGCACATCTCCACGCTTGGGAGCCGCAGAAATATCCCAGCCGCCCTTGGGGGGAGGGGGGAAAACAAACAAAAAAACAGGCGCCTGACAAACATACGCTGATTCGCTTTAGCGCTGGGGTTCTCAGTTCTCAGAGGGGCCTCGGGATATGTGCAGGAAGTTGCGCGTCGAGCCGAAAGGACCGTGAGCACCGCGCAAGCAACAGCTGTAAACGTGCAAATAATTGAAGACACCGTGGCCGAACTCACGAAAGTTGGAACAGTTATCGACACCCTCGGGCACGATCGGAGAGGTGGGCGGGCCCTGAACCTCGCCAGGGTCAGCCTGCTGTTGGACCTCCACAACCTCCAGAGCAACACTCGCCGCCTCGGCCTCCCGCCCTTTCCTTCTCCTCCGCTCTCCATTATCCTCCTCCTCCTCCTCCTCCTCCTCCTCCTCCTCTTCTTATTCTTCTTATTATTATTCTTATTATTATTCTTATGATTATCATTATTATTAGTATTCTTATCATTCGCATTATTATTCGTATTAGTATTATTATTATTCTTACTCGTAGTATTATTCTTCTTTTTATTCTTAGTATTATTATGAGTATTCTTCCTACGCTTATCATTATTATTCTTAGTATTAGTAGTAGTATTAGTCTTACTAGTATTATTCTTATTATTATTAGTTGTATTATTATTATGCTTAGTATTATTGATATTCGTCTTCTTCTTATTCTTATTATTATAATTATTATTATATTATTCCTCCTCCTCCTCCTCCTCTTCCTCCTCCTCCTCCTCCTCCTCCTCCGCCTCCTCCTCCTCCTCCTCCTCACCCTCCTTCTCCTCGTCCTCCTCCACCGCCCCCCCGACATCCTCCATTCCTTTCCTTGTGGATAGCTCCCCGCTGTCGCACCCCCCGGGCATGTCGGCAGGGCGGCGGGCCAAGCATGTCACAAGACTTGCTGACCGCTTAACGGCAAAAAGGAAGCCCCGAAACGGCAAAAAGGAAGCCCCGAAATCCTAAAACCGACTGTCGCACACGTGATGCTGGATGGGAGAAGGAAGACAAAGTCTGGTCTCCTTACTAGTCAGCATACTCTTCAGAGACTCACTCTGCCGTCCTGGCCACACGGCCACAGCGCCTGCACTCGATGACGCAGGCGCCTGCACATCTAAGCAGGACGTGGCTGGTGACGGTAACTTTGGGAGGGGCGGGGGGGCGCCAGGAGGCTGGGGGGCGATCAGGGCCCACCACCGTCCATGACTTGGCCTCGAGCAACCTCTGGGCAGCCCCGGCTGAAAAAATAGACTTGCGGCACTTCAACTCGGCAGAGATAGCATGACAGAACCCACCCGACAGAGCGCGCGCGCCAGCCCCCATGATGGCGGAAAAAATCGGCCCCAAGGTTTCCAGCCGGGGTGCTGACGCACAGGCCACGCTCCGGAACGTCGGCCAAACTCAGATGTGCGGGAAACCAATCAAAGTGAGAGGGGGATCGACCCCCGGGGCAAATCTTGACCTTCGGACGACAGCATGCATGGCCGTGCCACGCGCAAGCTCAGGGCCCAAGGGCTCCATTCGCGCAGAAACCGCCTGGAGATCGGCAACGATCCACCGGTGCCCTGGGCGCCTGGCCCTTCCTTGGCGCACCGCCCAACGTTCAGCACGGCCGAGAATCTGCCGCTCACCTGGCAGCGGGCCGTAGATCGCCCTAGCTGGTAACAGGCAGCGCGCGACGCCGCTGGTCGCAGGCCGCTCCTGCGCGGCGTCGCGCTCGTCGACGGACATGGCCGCCGACGCCCCCCGCGCCCCCGCTTGCCGGCGCACTCGCGCTTGTGCCCGCCAAGCGACCGATTTTGTGGGCCTGCAACACTCCAGCCTGCACGAGCGACTTCGGGGACGCTGGAGCGGTAGCACCTCCCGTCAGTGAAAGACTCGGGCCCCCAACATCCAAGTCTGCCCCCCAAACCCGAAAACCTGCAGGTGGTCCACGTGGGCCTGGAGGTTGGAATGGTAAGACGGGGTGCCAGACGTTAGATCACTGGACTCCACATCTGGAATCCCCAGCGCAGACAGTCTGGAATGTATCAGAACGCGTCTATGCGTAGCCAAAGCCTCAGGCACCTCCTCCCCAAGGGGGTCGACACCGTATTAATGGATGAACTTAGGAAAACAACGCCAAACGTGGCCGTAGGTCCTGCGGTGCTCGGAGCAAGCCCTACATTTAGACAGCGCGTCGTAATGAAATTCAGCGAGAGTTGCAGGAGGAGGCACCACGTTTCCACACACAGCCGCCAAACCGCCAATCTCCCGTGGGCTTTATTCCAAGGGGAACCTTCAGGAGGGCCAGCACAAACCATGTCCTGCTGCAGTCCCCTGACCTGCCATGTTTGGACTCCTTCGATGACCGCGAGCCGCACGTCACTGGGGCAAGTCGTGAGCAGGGAGACTGCGGCGCCAACGTCACTGCATAGCATATAGGCACTCACCATCCCCCACCAAATTCGCAGCAGACTGCGCCAAACCGCCGACAGCGGGCCATGCGCCTGCTGCCAAGCAGGGTTATCTGATAGCGTGTCCTGCAGTATTGACCAGGCTCGTGCACTCGAGATAGCTGCACCCGTCCGTCCCATTTAGATGTATCGTATTTGACCACCACCCCCAACGTAGCGTCATAGATCGGGTCGTGCATCGGATCAGACTGCGTCGGCTGGTATGATGTAATGACGCCGTGCTTTTTAGACCCAGCGATCGTAGCCGCCAGCTGTCTAAGAAACTTGAGGCTAGTGTCAGAGATTCCTGATGCCGCACCTCCGTGGCCAGCTGCAGGGAAACCGCCCGTGCGCCACAACCTCGTCACGTGCCTCCCCGTTGCATGCTTTAGCGCTAGGAACTTGCGCCGACGACCCTTGAATGCCTGGATCCTTTGCTTGAGCTCGTATAACCCTGCCAGCAGCCAACTCATGCCGCAAATGTCACATCCTACTTAGAACTGGCAGCCGAAGCCGAAACGTAACTCTCGAGTAATGCTTCCACACAACCTTAGTCCCCACGATGATCCCCAACTTCTTGATCTGCGTCGATGGGCCCAGCCCCTTAGCATCTTCCGTGAACACCTTGACCGCACGTTCCAGAAACCAAACATCATCGGGCGAAGACGAGACGAGCTGGATCGAGACATCGTCGACGAGCGCCCTGGGGGTGATAACTACACGGGGCTATGGCGCTGAGCCTTCTCAGGGCTCAAAGCGTGAGCAGAAAAAGCATGTCAGTTGCGTGGCTGCACCCTGCAAGGGTACCTTAATGCGAACAGAATTGCACAGATAGGCTCCCAAAGACCCTGAGACGTCGTGGCTGCTTGTACAGATGCACGAACATCCAGGAGGAGGAGGAGGAGGAGGAGGAGGATAAGGAGGAAGAGGAGAAAAAGAGAGGAAGGAGGAGGAGGAACGAACATGGAGGATGAGGAGGAAGGGAGGGATGGGCAGGGAGTGAGGAGGAAGGAGGCAGAGGAGAAGGAGGAGGGAGGAGGAGGAGGAACGAATCCCAAACGACTCCCTGAGACTGCTTTGGAGACAAAGAAAAAGGAAACGGAGGAGACGAAGAATCAGCGGCATCAGATGCCCAAGCTGAGGACGGCCCAGCCGAGTGCGAGTAGCACTACGAACATACACATTGATCAGCTAACGCCCAGGAGCGAAACGCAGAGAAGAAGCAAGTCCCAAACGAGGACAGCAACGCTGAGCACGATGCCCAACAGCCAATGGCGGCCGAAATTGGCATCGGCTGCTGCTGCGCAGGCGAAACTCGCCATGACCGCTGTGAAACCGACAGCGAACCTTGCCCACCATGAACAGGAACTGCTGCCAGGCATCGTCCCCATTCCCCTTCGTTTCGTCCCATTTCGGGCGTCGAACTGACATGCAGACAAACCTGAAATGCGTCGACTGTACCTTGTCTATCCCGTCGCAATCCGCTTCGAACCCTTGACAGTTCATGCCGAGCGTCGATACTGCGCCGGAGATACGTCAACATCCACGTCGAATCCGCGTCGAATCCGCGCGTCGAATACCAGCAATGGCCGGAGCGTCAAGAACTGGCGAGGTCCCCCGTAAGATGCACTGCAAGTGGATGGACAACACAAGCTGCACAAGCATACCTTCGTGAGGCCCGTGCGGATTCCTGGGCCGACGCTGGACCCCCCACCCCTGGCGCGCGGAGCGTGCCAGGGGCGGCGCTGGAGGCGCCGCCAGGGAGTCCTCTGCCGACCCGAGAGATCCGCGCGGACCTCCGAGGGGTTATGGCTATGGCGGGTCTCTTCCTCGAGTAAAGCCGATACCGCTACTCCCCAGGCCTCTCCCGGAGCGCATACTGACCAGGATCCCGAGGCGACTCCAGCCGTTGCAACGGAGGCCCCCGCGAGAGGCCCCGAGAGGCGACAGCAAGGAAACGGCAGCGGTGTCGGAACGCTGTCTCCCCCAGGTAAAGAACCCGCCTGAGCCTCCACCTTGGTGACCGCGTGGTTCCCATCCGCATCCATCTTTCTGAAGAGCTGCTTCAACGTCTCCTCGTGCTCAGGTGGCAAGGCCTTCGGCTTCCTCGATGGCACTATCCGGTTTATGCGGGAGGCCGGGGGTGGTGCAGGTCTTGCCCGTTTGCCTCGCCACGAATCCCTTTGCCCTCCCTCCGCCCTCCTCCCCCTTGTTGCACAGAAGGCACCTACACACCACCAGGCATGGCGCGTAGGCCTTCCTGACCATGGCTGGGAGGGTCTGTGCACCATCCTGGGGTCCAGGATGGCCTTGGCCACGCATGGTGGTGTGCAGATTACTCCTGCGGACCACTCGCCATCCCCCCCGCTCCCTCTCCCCAATCCCGTCCTCTTCCTCCTTATTATCCTCCTCCTCATCATCATCAACAACAACAACAACACCAACAACAACAACAACAACAACAACAACAACAACAACAACAACAACAACAACAACAACAACAACAACAACAACAACACACAACA